AGGGTGACGGTGGTGTGAATCTCCATATGTGCGAAATGCAACAGGTATCATGCAACTCTGCTAACGATCCTGAAGATTACACAACACAAGAAGGATTCAGCATTCAAAGGGAATTAAAACTAAACAGGCATCCCTTGGAGATCTTTTCATGCAATGGTGATATTCTGGATTTCAACTGACTTTCTCCCTGTGGTTTCAAAAGAAGGTTAAAATATAAAAATAACAACAAAAGACACTGCGGAGTAGGTCAACTGTCCAATGTTAAGAAACACTTGACTACTGTATATACAGAAGATTTTTCCAAGCACAATATATCTAACTGTTAGATTGTTTGACTGAACTGAATCCATATCTATGTTATTTTTATCTATCCATCCAGTAACTGCAACCCCAAAGCTGGTTTAAAATCGGTAGCATTCAAATCTAATCACATCAAAGTTATTTCTATAGCACATTTAAAAGCAACAGAGTTGACCAAAGTGCTTCACAATCAGTTAAAAACATGAGAAAACAATAAAAAAAAAACAAATACAGATGAATTATGTAAGGCAAAGACAATGTATAACATAAAAACAAAATAAACATATTGTTTTGTTTTCCACATTGGAAACGGTGGCTAAAAAATAAGGTTGGTAACAAAAATGTTTATTGTTCAGGAAAATCGCTGCATTTCAGAGGAAAATTGTGTTCATGAACCAAATAGTTGCATCCTCATTCACTTCATATTCTTTTGATTAACAGACCCAAAAAAACGTAACCAATAGTTAGCCGAATCCTGCTTTTGAAGATCTGTTTTGTAAAAGAATCAAGAAATATTCCCATGAGAATTCAAAATTGCTTCCAAGCGTTCTTATATTTTGGTTACAGTTGTACATTGCGCAACAAAGACGTGATGGCAAGGAGGGTAGTTTTTATAGAAGAAAAATGACCAGGAATTAGTAGGTGAAATGAATCATACTGAAATCTATCTGTACACATCATGTATTCTACTGGTCTCAACAAGTATGTAAGCATGCCAGCATGTTCTGCAATTACAACGACAAAAGGTTTTATCTGTCCGTGCATTCCATTCAAGATGTGTGTTCAGCAGTGCAGGAGGAGCCACAGGCAGGTAAACACGATAACAGACAGTCCCTAGTAACAAAAGCAAGCAGGGCTTTTAGGGGGGAGGTTTTGTTTGCTGTAGTCACAATATGTCTATTGTTTTATGTAATTATTAGAGTGGACCACTGTAACAATCTTTAATTTTTGTTTTTTGTTTTGTAAAACGCGGCACTGTTGCGCTGAGCAAAAGCAGCACGTTCAATGACACGTTATTCCCTCCTTTGTGAAATACATTTGTTGGAAATCTAATAAATAATGATGTGAATTTTTTTTCTTCTTAAATTAAATCTGTAAAATGTTGTTTTTAAGGCTACAGAATTAACCTATATACGGATATGATCTAATAGCTCTCTTGCCAGTCCCCTGCCTACATCACAAAGACAAAATAAAACATCTGTCAACTCAAAACAGCTGCAGCCGGTGTTTTCTTCCTAAAACAATAACCTTACTTCCGCGTAAGACTTTCAAAATAAAGTTACAATCACCTAGTGCATCTCTGGTAGAAAAGGGCTTTCTCTATTTTCTCGCACATTCTCTCTTTATTTTTCAAGGCAACCTTGCTACATTTTGTTGTCAATTTTATCAGTCAAATCCACGTTCATCAGGTTTTTCGTTACTAAGCATTTACCTCAATTCAAAAATGAAAATACGTGCGCGGTGAATAGTGATATATAGTGAACGAACAAAAAAGTGTAACAATTAATAAAATTGGTCTAGTTTACCTTAATGTTAACAACAGTTAGAACATGAGACTATCCAAATTATATTAGCCCGTTAGCTTATTGTTTGAGCCGACTCACTGCATATCATAGCTTTGATTTCTTTGAGAAAAACCATGGAGTTGCTTTTTTCTTTGTTTGTTTTCTTTTTCCCTAACAGCAGAAATTTCCCATCTTTTATCAAGCGACACAGCTTTAATTTCTCACGAATTGAATTGGCTAATTGTAATTTTGGCTTTAATTTTGAATGCGGAGCGTCTTACCTCCTGTACCGTCTCGGCTCTTTGCGGCTAGCTTGTAGCAAACGGACTTCCCCTTTCTCCCGTTTCTCTGTCTAAATTCAGATAGTGCTAAAACTTCCGAACACGAACACATTTAACATAAACTATGCCCGCTAAGTGACGACGGGTTCAAAGCCGTGCTCCCCAGTGGTACCTGTGCTGGTTTTCCTCCTGTCTAATGATTTTGACAGCTGGCCAGCAGTGAGTCCTCATCACCCCGTAAACAACCGGCTGCTGCTCAGGAGGAGACGTCGTCACGTGATCTTGCAGTATTTTTGGCTCTTCGTATATAACTGCGCGTACGTGTACGAACATATCTGTTAGGAAGACTATGACATAAATAAAAAGAAAATGACATTCAGAGAACGTTATGTTGTCATATCATCACCGTGGGCGTAAGTTTGGTTTGAGCACTAAGCAAGGAAATTTTAAACATAAGACATCAGATGCTCTGCTATGTTTTTAACACTTTAAGAGCTCAAAATCAAATATATTGCTAAAAAAGAGAAAGAAAGAAAGAAAGAAACATGATCTTCACAGTATAACTTAAATTATGTTAAAGTTAGTTAAGTTATCATCTTGTCCAGTTAGGAACCATAAATCGTTGGAAATCCACTGGACCAGCGTTAGTGCAAATAAATCCAACAGGTGCAGTGGAGAAGCAAAACAGAAGGACTTTGCAGCTAGTGGTGACACACCATTGCTCCTTTCTGACTCATCTTTCTCTACCATTTTCTAGGTTCCTTATCACTACTGCTACCGACAACTCAATCAAGTTACAACGGTAGTCTAGTTTCTCCAGGATGGCATATCCAGGCCAATGTAAGGTTTGCTGTGTCTCCCAGCACAGTCTCAGGAGTGTGAAGGAGGTACCAGGTGTGGCAGGCAATGGACAAAAAGACCTGGACGTGTCTGTAGTAGGACATCAACCCAGCAGCAGTGCTGTTATCTGCTCCTTTGTGGCATTTGTTAGAGAACACTAGAACTTACAGATCTACCATCAGTGCACCATGCTTCAAGGACAGGTTCACACTAAATATATGTGACAGACGTGAAAGAGCCTGGAGACACTGTGTGATGCCTGCAACACGTCTGCTGCCAGCTTGGTTTTTCCCCAATGCATCCATCCTGGAAATTTTCTTTACCCGTGATCGACATATCATTGTTCCGATACCAAAGAGGGACTAATTGTGTTTACACTGAAGCAAAAAAGATGACAAAAAAGTCATCACAGGATGCTACAAATAATAGTATCATCAAGTTGTTGCTGTCATGTTTCTAATCACTTCTCTCAGTTATCACTTCTCTCCCCTTGGCACTTGATGCGAGTGTGTAAAAAGCACATGTGTAATTAGAGCATTCCTGTTAGAAGCATGGGGCAGGGGGGTACTTGAACAGAATGTGCCAATATTCTGTTAGTCAGATGTCAGGTGATGAAACAAATGTATCCATGTCAGCACACCCGCAAAAATCCAGGACACATTCATAGCTGTAGACCGTTTGTGCAATGCATAAAAAACAAAGTAGTGTATTACAAAATAACTTTAAGTGATGGGTCTTGTTTCCTAAACAGCAAAAACCATGAAAGGCTCACCACAGAGCAAGTAACCGCTGGCAGCCAAAAACAACCAGTCACAAGATATTTAGTAATGCAACAGTAACCTTTTGAGTTCTGATGCCTCACATCAAGAGCGTCCTGGAGAGTTTGCATATTTTCACCATGTGCTAGTTTCAAATTCTTTGATTAACCTCAAAATGGGATCTTTTAAGCTTCAAGGAATTATACATGCAATTTCAATAATCGTTTTATCCTTTAAACACTAAAATTCACCAATTATGAATTTGAACAAAGACTTGATTTTGGCACAATGTGTATATATAGCAGCTGGATGGCATAGTGGTAACACTACTTCCCTCCTGACCAGGGTGTTTGTATCCAATAGGGGTCGCCAGGCTAGGCCCTGCATATTTAATATAATGTATTATTATTCCGGGCAGCACGGTGGCACGGTGGTTAGCACTGTTGCCGCACAGCAAGAAGGTCCTGAGTTCAATTCCACCATCAGGTCTTTCTGTGTGGAGTTTGCATGTTCTCCCCGTGTTTGCGTGGGTTCCCTCCGGGTACTCCGGCTTCCTCCCACCGTCCAAAGACATGCAGCTTGTGGGGATAGGTTAATTGGATAATCCAAATTGCCACTAGGTGTGAATGTGAGTGCGAATGGTTGTCTGTCCCTGTGTGTTGGCCCTGCGACAGACTGGCGACCTGTCCAGGGTGTACCCCGCCTCTCGCCCTATGACAGCTGGGATAGGCTCCAGCGCCCCCCGCGACCCTGAAAAGGATAAGCGGAAGCGAATGGATGGTATTATTATTCCTTTCAATAGGGAAAGTCAGTGTGAAGTGTTCTGTTTTATTTAGTTTATTATGAATATATTACATGTTAAGGATGATGAAACAATGTTTCCATTGAATCTTTGGAACAAAGACCTGTCCTCTGAAAGACACCACGTCTGAAAAGACAGAATAATGTGACATCCATATGCTAGGAGCAAGGATGTGTTTTATTGCTATGGTGCAAAAAAATAGTAAAACATTGTATCATGAAATTTATTAATGAAAGTCTTTTGAGGCATTAAGAAAAGCCATGAATTTTTTCTTCGAACTATCAGGCTGGCTTCTTCCACCAAATACGTATGCACTGTATCACAAAAGAGATGGAAGACAAGCAGCAAGAAAGCAACAATTAAGAAAAAACAAAACCCAGGGGAGGAAGCAGATAAGAGGGAGGGGGCAGGAAAACAACAAGCTGCAAATGTTCTTGTTGTGCAGTGTGGCATGCATTTAGACAAACACACAGCAGCGACATTTTTAACCAAAAGATTTATTTTTTATTAAAAGTCAACATATATCCAGAAAACCAGAATATACACATTAAATTCAGTGACATATATTTTAATTTTAACATTTTGAAAAAAGTGCAAACATCACAGTATCTAAAAGCTTACATATGTGAGTTCTGCTGGACATGACTGAAACATAACGCCAATGAAATACATGACAATTTTACATTTCTATTTAATACTGGAACACATCCAACCAAATAAATGCATTTTGGCCCATTTTAAAGACAAAGGTCTGATAATCAGGTTTGAAAAAAAAAGAAAAACAGTCACTCTGGATTCATTTATAAAATATTCAGTTATTAATTTACAGTGTGGACAAATGCAATATGGAATCTGCACATCAAAACAGTACAAAAGAAAACTCACTGAGGCTCAACAAGTACATGTTTAAATGACCGAAAATCTAAAGTGCTACTTTAAACAACTTAGGAAGCAGCTATAAAAAAGCATACATGATACAAAATATAAAATAAAAAGCTTATCTAAAGTTCAAAACATCGTCAATAGTATTATATAGCTTTCTTTCTTTATATATATACAATAGAACAGTAACCTGCATCTATTCCTGCTCGCAATTTCCGTGTTGGGAATAATTCATAATTATTTCCAACTTACAATTTCTAATTTAGTTACTTTGAACTTTGACATCCGTCTCCTGTATAACTAGAGCCAGTCTAGCTTTTCTGCAAACGCAGGCTTTAGGCCTGATTAAGGAGTTCCTGAGTGATACTGTCATGTTTTTGCCACTGGCCTAAATTAGAAGAATCAAGTGATTAAAGCCTTTTTTTAATGCAACTTGAGTTAATTATTGATATATTATATTTAGCTAATTGCCACCAAAATTAATTATAACTCAGAATGTGTGACATATAGAGCTATAAATAAACAGCAAATATATTTTGTAAAATGTTTCTTTTTTCTCCTGTTGTAATAATTACTAAATAGAACACAAGCTCAAGAATAAATAATTTAGAGTGAATAAAAAAGGTTTGTACACTCAAAATTTGAGAAGTTACAGCAGCTGGATTATGTTTGGGAAGGAATACTGACCCATCTTTACTTTTACAGTTACACAGCAGGTCATATTTGTGTTTGCCCGTACAGCTAACTTGTGCTCGTAACTACCGAGTTACAGAGTTAAGAAACGTAGGATATATGGAGAACCTGCTGGACTTTTTTTTAAGCTGTAGCTCCTATTCTCCTGCAGTTACCACACCTGACAGACACATTTCATCAGAACAATCCTCCAGGAGAAACGTCCTGGTCAGCCTCCAGCTCCTCCATCACTGGTGGTATACTGGCATTATTTTTACATTCAAAGTCCGGCTTCTGCATCTTTGTTCATTTAACTCCTCTCCTGGGCCTGGAGCATGTGCTGCCTGGTAGATCCGGTGCTGCTGCTGCCAAGACCAGAGCCACCAGCCTGCTTCTGCATCCAGTCCAGCATGCAGAATCGCAGCATCAGGAAGAAACCTGCGAGCGACAGACGAGAAACCAAGATTCAAAATGTATTATTTTTACTATTACTTTTTACTCAGTCGCCACAGTATCTGATTGTTTTAAAAAATCTTTGACGTGAGTGTGATAGGGACAGAAAATTTGCAGTAAATATGCTAGCAGGAAACGAGCATGATTTGCAGTAAGAATATGTCAGTGGCAAAACGTTCTCAGATATACTACATAAAAAATGAGCCCATTTCTTTTAGGATTCATTTTAAAATTCTTTTATTTACTTTTAAAGCTCTCCATGGCCTAGCTCCATCTTATCTCTCTGAGCTGCTACAGCCTTATACACCCACCCGCTCTCTCTTGCCGTAGCAGCTCCAATACTGTGGAACGAGCTTCCTTTAGAGATTAGACAGGCCAGTTCTTTATCTGTTTTTAAGTCACTCTTGAAAACCCACCTCTTTACCCTGACCTTTGACACCACGTGAGATGTTGGTTTCTTTATTATTTTTATTTCAGTTGTTTTTAGGTGATTCGATGCTGTTTTATCTTGTTTTTGTTTTAATATAGGGCTGTTTTAATTTTATGTTTTATGTGTTTTATTTATTTCTTTTTGCTGTTTTCTGTTATTCTATTGTTTTAACTTATTTTCTGTACAGCACTTTGTTCCTGTGCTGGGTATTTTAAAGTGCTTTATAAATAAAATTGGATTGGATAAAAAAATGAGCCTTTAATATCTGTTATTTGCAGTAAATGCCACCATTCCTCAGCAGAACAGCTCACTTCACATGTTTCTAAAATCATTCAAAAGCCTTAAAATATTTTTTTTAACTCAAAGATATTGCATAATTTTAGTATTTTTTTTATTTAAAGAATTTTTGAAAATTAATTATTTTACAGTGTACAGAGGTGAACCAATACACTCATGTTTTTATCAGCTTCCTGGATGTAGCTGAACAATGACTCTAAAAATGACGGACAAAAAATGAAAAATTATATTCTGTTTTGTAAAAAAGAAACCACATTATTTACAACAACTTCTGCTGACAAAAATATCCCATATGGAAAAGATATATATAAATCTTATAAAGTTTTTATCTGTCTTGTATGAAACCTGTATGAAAAGCATACAAGAGTGAAAACACATAAGACCCCTTGAAAAATTATATAATGAAACTTGTATGTTTTGTATACTTACTAAAAAAAAATATGAAAGTAATGAGAAAGTGGCCACTTTCATGAGTAAATTATATATGTTTTTACTATTTCTTTTCCATATGGGATAATACAGCTCTTCTACAATAAATAATCTGTGGCTTCATTTACGTGGTAGTTCTTACAACGATATCATAACAATTCAGTTTAAAAATAATCTTTAATCTTGTTTTACTGTTACGAGACATAGTTTAGTCATTTCTATGCTGCCTGCCTTTGCTTTGATCAGATGGCCTTTGTGTTCGTACCATTCCAAGCTTGTGTGCTAGCAACAAGGAAGTTGCAGAGAATCCTATTCTATACAAACTTACAGCCATTATAAATGCAGATAACGTCATGTCAGCAAACAGCTAGATTGGGCTCTAAATTGTTTCTATGTTTAAGAAAAGAATACACCTGCAGGTAGGGTCGTGAAATAAAATGACAGATGTAGCATTTAGCCACTGCATGTTATATGGCTGGCATAGAACACATTCTGACACCACTATGCAGCAATAATGGGGTTAATAAATCACATATTTGGTGCTGAATCAAAAATAAGCATGCTGCACGTGAGAGGAAACAGCTTTGTCTCTGATAGGCAACAGCAACTGAAGGCCTTGATTAATCATGGCCATTGTCTCATTCCCACACTGATACAATAGGCCACTGGCTCCACATGTACAGTCACAGTGTATGAGTCAACAATGAATATACCCCCATCCAACAACCGACTATAAATAGTTAAAAGCTATAAAAGCACATGGAGATTATTCCAAGTCACCTTTTCTTTGGATCTGTGTATTTATTAGATGACAATGATGTAATTTAATGTTGAGAAGCATCATCATCCCCTTTTGACAGCTTTCTGGAATGTATTCATAAATAAGAACAAATGCAAAGAAGTTCATAAACATGAGCCAATGGCATGTGTCCAAGGAGTCTGTCATTTCCATTGTTTCCATCTACTGTGCTACAAAAACATCTACATAACACACTGAGGTAAAGTTGCATTGTGTTACAGGCTATGTGGTGTTGAGGTACACATTCCTTATTTGCATACAGTTGAGGTGTAGGGTTCTATATGCAAATTAGGGGCATCTAGCATAATATAATGCCTCTGGAAACTCCCGAAGGATTTTGAAAGATGAAGATGAATGGCATTTCATGCCTCGGTTTAATTTTTTTTCTTTTTTTCTTTTGCTGGATATTTACAAGTGAGTGGCCATGTTGTTTTTTTCTGGAAAGCAAAGAGTCCACGTGAGCTGTCCTATCAGGAGCAGTTCAGTGTTCGCACAGCTGTAGGAGAATGTATGAGAGTGAGAACATCTCTTAGTCATCATGACTGTCGAACTGCTCATCTATCATGTGATGCTCTGCAAAATATCCTTATGGTACTTGTCCTTAAGTATAACATCTCATTTTAAACCTGAAGTGTAATCTGGAATCACTGTACAGCAAAAGCACTGACCTTGAAATGAGTTGAGGATACAGGTGATGAAGAGAATAAAGGTAGAAATGGGCTCAAACTCAAGGAAGGCCAGACCCCAAGTGGTCCCATATAAGCAGCTGAGGCCCCAGATGCTAAGAAACGCCACTCGGTTCTGTTTCCATTCATCCCTGGTGCGGATCTGCCTGTAGACCAGGAACAGCATCACAAGGCCAGATGACACCAGGAGGGCCAGAATCATCACGTTGGTGAAACAGAAAGCTAGCCAGCCCTTATTCTCAGTTATATCCATCCAACACCTGGAAAAATCAAACAGTCAGAAGACAAAGAAAAAAAATCCAGAATAAAAATGATGCTCAAAACATGCTCAGCATTTTATTAAAGATTCCAATAACCCCCTTGAAATGTTTTGCTGTTGGCTTGAAAGCATGATTTTAAATACAAGCATGTGCTTGTATTTATTCACTTTCCAAATAATTTTAGATCAGATAAGGAAAGGCTTACATCTTATATGGATTCTCAGGGTCTTCGCTTGGTGGCACCTCTATGGGCCCATAAATATCACCTATTGGAGCCAGGATGACAACGGGAACAGCAGGAAGAGCTGGAAAAGAATAATCAAGAGTCTTACATGTGCTTTACCTTTATGTGTCATGAGTAGGGATGGGTACCGGTATCCGGTGCCATGATGGCACCGGTTCTGACATAAACGGTAGTAACCAGACCGAAAAGCAGCGAACATGTCGGAGGTGTTGTTGGTTCCTTTTTTTTTTCCTGAGCTGTGATACACTTTAGATTCTAGCCAATCATTTTACGTTTCCGAGGATAGTAGGCGGGTCCAGGTACGTACGTTCTTTTAGAGCAGAGCTACAGATTAAAAACGCCCAAGGCGAAGCGGTCAAAGTCTGGCTGTACTTCATAGCAAAATATGCAAACTCAGCAGCCTGCAGCAAGCGCTTTAAGCTGATACTGTGATACTGTCAAAGGAGGTAACACCTCGAATCCGATGAAACACCTGGCGACGCATAGCGGTTTTTTTTTAAAGCCGAGAAATGCGCCGTATTTGATAGCTTGCTGCGAGACCTCACACCGTGCACATCTACTGCGGGTGTAGCCGTAGCCCTGCCAGTGTAGCAGAAATGATGACGGATGATGATGGCAGCAGCAGCCGTTCTTCTCTGCGTGAGTAGCTTAATGTTGTTCGTGTGTAATTTACGTTGAGTAGGCTAACCACGTTATTACATTAATGCATGTAAGGTGAACTAGCAAACATCATCATAGCTACATGCGGCTGTCTTCTTGTTTGATGGCAGATACTCCCTTCACCCTGGCCAAAAAGGCTAAAATGATCAAAGAAAAAGTGGAAAACAGTTAAACATGAGAGGTTTTTGGACAAAGTTTTTGTTTTTTCCATTGTTTAAGCACTGCTTCCAGCCAAGAGTGATACCATATATGCCCCATAGCTGCAGAAAAGGCTAACATTGTTATCTTTTTACAAAAAAACAGCTGAACATGAGAGGTTTTTGGACCAATTTTGTGTTCTCCATTCTTTAAGCACAGGTTTGAGCACCATTTAAGCACCGGCACCGTTTCAAAAGTACCGGTTTGGCACCGGTATCGAATAAAACCTAAACGATACCCATCCCTAGTCATGAGGTATATTTCAGAAATGAAACTCACCAAAACCAACTAGGTTCCATATGTAGGGCTTCAGGCGGGGGGTGAAGACCATGTAGACCAACCAGAAAGTGTGCAACACTTCGATGCCCATCCAGGCGAAGGAGCAGAGGAGGGCGTAGTGAAGTACTGCTCCTACCCAAGGGCACACGCTTTCCCCTCCCACGTTAGCCAGGACTCCATTGAAGAAAAAGTTCAGGCTGAGGAAGGCGAGGGACACAGCTAAGCCCACATGGATGGGCAAGGACTGCTCCTTTGATCGCCTCCTTGAAAGACAGTGGAAAGTTAAAATAATAAAATAATAAAAAATATATATATTGTATATTACATAAATACATCTGTACCTTTTCCTGAAGAGATATATTATAAGAGCAACACAGCTGATCAGAGATACGGCACATCCCAGATATGTAATGACAGTAAGCTCCAGCAGGTGGGGCACTGGTTGACGATTCAGGTCCTGCCATAGGAAACAGTGCAGTGAGCAACATGGCCTTCACAAGACACACTGGTACAAGGAAGACTGTTGATTTCTGTGTATCTTTTAAAAATCATTACTAATCTCATCACTATTGGTTTCTGTCTGTTGTTTATTTGCTGTATGAAAAGCAGTGTATCCGCATGTCTCACCACCAGCACAGTGAAGTACGTCAGATGGTTACACTGACACACAGTGTGGTTTTCCCCACTCTGCTCTGTCTTACATCCATCCTTCGACCAGTTCACCTGCAGAGAATCTGCAACAGGGAAATATCAAATCAGTCCGCATTGCTGAAAATGATGATAAACGAAAATACAGATAAATATGTAAAGTAGCACATAATATTCATCTCTAAATGGTTCCAACCTTTTCTGGTGTCCCAAGAAACACATGCCCTTGTTTTTCTTTTCTGAAATAAAGAAGGAGAGGAGAGACATGAGCTGCAATGTCACCACAATCTCAAAGAATATCCACGTCACAGGTGCTTTTATGTGTTATTGTGTGCATTGCACAGATGCAATAAACAGCCTCATAAATTGCATAAACAACAGTCTGTTTCTGCCATACATAAGGTTAGAAAAGAAACCTATAAGTGGTTTCTGTGTGTTTGCTGCACCGTGGAGGTAGATATGCAGACATCACAGAAGTAAAAACCATCTTGTTTTTCTTCTAACAGCATCTGCACCTGAGCCACATTTGACAGCCTGTGTGTGTATGGGCATCTGTACTGCTGCACATTGCAGTCAATTCAACAGTTACTATTTGGTACAGTAGGTGTCA